TTCTTACTACCTTTTTATGGTTGAGTTAACATTGTCGTTCATGATTCTATTTTAGAGGGGGCTACCAATGCTGACATTGACAGAAATATCATTTTGCGTTCTTCTTTTACCAGTATCCCAAGGCATAGGCATATGACTCATGTTTATCAGGACGTATTGTGTTTGTACACTGCTTTGATAATCCGTCATTACTTTCATCTACAACCCTAAATGATATGAAATTGTACATTAATTATTTCCTTTCCAGACAACCTTCCAGATTTATTTTGTCGCTTTTCCCATCAAAAATAAAAATGTCAAAAAGGATTTACTCTTAATTTTATCAAATACACAACATAATAATTATTCCTCATTATTTTTTAAAAAAATTAGCCTAAATTTATATCAATAAAAAATATTTACTTAAAAAATATATTTATATAATTTGCATATAAGTTTCATTCGTGTTTAATGGCATTTTTGTTATTTAAATAGATAGAATTTTTTTTTACTTAACATAAAATATAGACAAATAATTTGGGAAATGCAAGACATACATTAAATTTATCCTAAAAGTTAAAATAACCCTATATAATAAACAACAATTTATTTTTTATATATAATTATAACTGATCATATTACCAAAAAGTATAAGAGTCGGTTATTTTTATTATATTTGTCATGATTCTCTAATAAGTGGTTTGCCCAGGCCTTCCCAGTTTCCCTTAATATGGAATTCACATGTTTTTTTTATATCTTAAACATAATTCCCCTTCATATGATGATAAGTCAATTAAAAATTTAACTATCTCCGAGGTGGAAAAAAATTTTCAAAATTATATTGGATACGACAGGGCTTGGAACCTCAAAATTTATATTATGCACCTGACATGGGAATATTTTTTTACAAATTATTAAGGGTTGAGCTGGGCTGGATAAACTTTTTAATAATTATATGATTCCTAATATTGTGAGCTTGGATCTGGCATGACATCTATCGTAAAAAAATAAATAAAAATCTCATTCCCCGTCATTTTTGACGGGCTTTCTACTAGTATTATTAAAAAATTCAATTTTAAATTAACATTTTTTATGTCAAATGAATGAAAATAATATTTTCTAACATTGTAAAGTAACGTGTTCATCAAAAAAGGGAAAGCGTGAACTTTAAAAATTTGTCAAAAATAAAAAGAACGTCGTTCCAGGAACGTCGTTAGTCTTAACAATCTCAGGGGGCTCGACTTGGTTCATTCCGCTGCTTTCCGGATAGAAGATCAATTAGGATCAATTAACGGGCTATACAATGATATAAGTTTCGGTAATTGATCCTCAAATCATTCTTAGCAAATCTTCGCACTTTCATTATTTTGCTTATAACTCAATAGCCTTTAATTTTTTTGACATTCCGTTTAAAGAATATGGAGGATCAATTAAGGTACTAAATATTGGCTATAACTAAAAAAATGATTGCTCAAATTTTTAATTTTGGCAAGGTACCAAAACCTTTCTATTTTGCTTATAACTCACGAGCGGTTCATTCTGTTGATATGCGGTTTAAAGATTCTGGAGGATCAATTAAGGCACCACACTTTGGCATATATTTTGGTAATTGATCCTCACTTTTTAAAAAAATTCTTACAACTTCACGCTATAAAAACAGGTCATAACTCAGTTGCGGTTAGTGATATCGATATCCGGTTTGGATATTATTAACGCACAAATTAAAGCCTAAATAATTGCCAAGTTTCAGATCGTGATCTTTTACATTTTCGGTTTTGGCAAAGTGCCAACACTTTCTTTATTTGCTCATAACTCAGTAACGGTTTATTCCGCTGCTTTTCGGATATAAGATCAATTAACGGGCTATACAATGATATAAGTTTCGGTAATTGATCCTCAAATCATTCTTACAGCTGCAAATCTTCGCACTTTCATTATTTTGCTTATAACTCAATAACCTTTAATTCTGCTGATGTCTGGTTTGAAGATCAATTAGGATCAATCAAGACTCTAAATAATGGCATAGGTTTTGTTAATTGATCCTTACATCGTTCTTACAACTTCATGGACCTATTTAAATCAAAGACCAATCATTTTTTTTATATATTCAATTTTATCTAAATTATTTAAAACATTTTAAAATAGTTATTTCAATCATTTTTATGTACTATCTCCTACATATTTTTTATTCTAAATATTACTGTTATAATTTTTGACTGTTCACACCTCAAATTATAAAGAGATTAAAAAATATCTCAAAAGTTTTGGGGTAATGGAAGGAGATAAAATCAAATTTAATTCAAACAAAATTAAGCAATTTATATTCATCAACACCAGGTGTATCTCAAAAATTGGCTGATAAAGTCATAATGAACTTTATAATAGATACTGTTCAACCATTATCCTTGATGAATAATGTTTTTTTTATAAAGATGATAAACATTTTTTCTCCACGCACCAAGATATTTTGCTGGCAGACATTGATGGCAAGAATTTTGGATAGCTTTATAGAAAGAAAGAATCTTTAATATTAAATCTATCAGATGTCTCCTACAGCTGTACAACATCAGATTGCTGTACGCACAATAAAAGGTAAAAATGTTTATTTTCTGATTTATAATATAATATTCATATTTTTAGAGCTTATTTAGGAGTGACCACACATTGGATTGATCCAAAAAATCTAAAACTGAATCTAAAGGGCAACTTGATAGGCTGATGGTAACGTTAAAAAATGCAATGCCTAACCACGATACTAATACTATAGCAAGATCGAAACCGCGGCCTTCCATAGACGATTTTTTTGAAATAAATAATAATATTATTGAACCTCTAGATGCTTTTTTAAATCTAAAAATACTCATTTTTGATAATTTTTTTCATATAAAAAGTGTGTTTATTAAATTTAATACTGCATTGCGTTAGTGTTGAACGATTATTTAGTATGGCAAAGCTTATACTTTCTGATCGTCGCTCTAGACTGGGGATAACAGTACCGAAATGTTATTATTAAAGGGCAATAATAAATAAATTATATATATATATGTAACAAATTATAGTCATGTTTTTATACCAATATTTTATTTGTGGAAATAAAGTTGCGTAAAAAATATTTTAAAAAAAATCAAAATGGCGTAAAAAATAGCTAATAGCGCGTTACTCATTTGAAAACGATAGCGGTAGCGCGCTACTTTTAAAAGTAGCGTTTAACAACACTGCTCCAACTATACAGATTGGTTTGATATCCCCCTTTGGTTTTAATAGCACTGCTGTTGCTCAATATCTCCCAAAGCAAGTAATTTATTATGCCATATATATTGTAAAATGCTTGGTATTTCTTTCAACCATTTATTTATCACAAAAGAGCTTGGAGACACTCAGAACGAGTCAAATTAAGAATCGAAATCAAAAACCATTTTTATAAAAAAAATGTCCAGAAAGGAAACCTTTATGAATTAGGTTCCAAGTAGACTGACTCGTGGTATCTAGGAAGAATTTGATCCCAGAAAATTATAAAATAGATGATCTTTGAAAAAGATATTTATTTAATAGAAAGAATGGTTTTATAAACTTAAATATCTTAACCCCTCATGTGCTATGGTTCGATTATGTAATAAAACAAGGTGTCTTTACAGCTTGGAGACGAAGTGAATAAGCCTCTTGACTAACCAAGACGTGCTCCCATCTCAGCTACACTTTGAAAACGCTTGTTTCTATAAGTCGTTTATTAATATTTGTTTTTACCCTAAATACTTTGTTCTAAGTATATGCTACGACCTTGTCAAACAAAATCTCAGCTACACCAACATCAGCCTTCCCATTTATGCTCTCTTCAGAAAAACTTTTCATTCCTGCACAATTTCATTTTTATCTTTTCTCCTGCGTGAACAAGTCAACCTTTCATTTCAGCATCTTCAACATATCGTTCACCTTCCTATTATAGTTCCAACCAGCATTCCGAGTTTTAATATAAATTGTTTCTATGCTAATATCTTCCTTTCGCAGTTATAATCTATAGGTAAGTGAGGGAACCCACTGATCGAAAAGATTTTGCAGCAATATTTTTTTAAATCCAGCTGCCCATATTGATATCGTCCTAATTGGTTAAATATGTTGAAAAACAGCATTATTATTCTATTCCAGATCGTAGGGAACCTTTTACAGTCAAATAGCCATTTCTACTTCCCGCCACAAAGGGATCTTGATAAGATCACACTTACAATATAATTTAAAATATTGATAAACAAACACCCGGTGATATTGTGATAAAGTTATTATAAAGATTATTTTTACACCCAGCTGCCCATATTGACATTACGCTAATTTGTTATATGTGTTGAAAAAACAGCGTTATAATTCTATCCCAGATCATAGGAAACCTTTTCATTTAGCCATTTCTATTCCCAGTCAAATAAAGACCTAGATAAGATTATACTTAAAATATAATTTAAAATATTGATAAGCAAACACCATGTGAAATTGTGATAAAACCCATCATAAAGTTCTTGCAGAAATTTTTCTTACATCCAACTGCCCATCTTGACATCGCTCTAATTAGTTAAATGAAAACAGCGCTACTATTCTAACCCAGATCATAAGGAATTTTTTAGCCTAAATTAGGCCTTTATACTCCCTGTCACATAAAGATTTCGATAAAATTATACTTTCAATATAATTTAAAATATTGATAAAGAAACACCATGTGAAATTGTAATTGAACCTATAAATTCTGATAAGAATAATTTTTTTCTAAGATTATTTAAAATGCTTTTTTAAATTAAATTTCTGAATTGGCCCTCATTGAGTATAAATAAGGAGTCCGAGTTAGACTTAACATATATTGCATAAAGTTTTTTTGACTGGATTTAAATTTTACAAATTTATAGATTTTTTAGTTACATAGTGTCCCTTTTCAACCACAATATTTTTAAAATTCTAGATAGCATGTTATTAGGTCACCTTTTTGAAAAGGGAAATTATGTGACTAAAAAAGGTTAATATTAATAATTCAATATTCAAATCTAATTCAAAACTCTGTGATATAAAACATCATCATGGGTGCCAGTAATAACATTTTTGGTTTCAACTTCTGTATCATTAATATCTACAAAATAGTTCATCATATCATAAACCAAAATGTTGGGTTTGAAATGCGATTTGAGTTCATTGATGGGAGAATCAATCAATTCTTGAACTATTTGAGAATGTTTGAAAGTGAGAGAGCATCCTGTGTTGGTGTATTCTAGACCAAACCTAATTTTGAGAGCGTGTCTAGCCGCTTGATCAATGGCTGTTTTAATTGTTTCACCAGTTCCTTTATTTTATTCATAGTAAATTGTTTCAATTTAAATATTTTAAAGGTTAAAAAATTGATTTTTAAAGACATAAATAAGTAAGGAAAGTAGTAGATATGAAAAATATTCTAAAATTCTTAATAGATTTCAATCTCAATGAATAATAAAAAAAATAGGTTAAAGAAATGAGTTTGTATAATAATTTTATTTTATTACCTTGTGCCAAATATTTTTTATCAAAATAGATTCCTATAATATACACTGGGAATATTGTGTTAACACCTGAGCTCCTCAATAACCTTTAAAAAAATTTTTTTTAATATTATATTTCTTTTCTATGTTAAACAATCTATATTGTTTATATTATACTATAATCAATAAAATGCTGTATAAGCAAAATTTTACCTTGCTTCAATTTCAGGGGGTTTATTAGAACAATTTTCTTGACAACTTTTGGCGATTATACTTTTTAATAAATAAAATGAATTTTGAAAATTCCATAACTCAAAAGGATCTAAAGTTATTAATTGTGTACAAACAAAATCCAAAATAAATCGAATGGTCGATTCTATATTACTAACATTATTTGGCAATGATAACTGGAGTGAAGAGCCCTTGATTTATTATATAACAGTTAAAATAAAATTTAACTACTTTAGTATTTTGCGGTAACTTTGATGAATCCTCTAATAACAGATTATTGGTAATTGAAACACTTTCAATCATTGATCCAATCAAAGCATTAAATGTTTGAGTAAGTATAATTGGATTAGGGGGATATGTCTTTATAAATATATAAAATTTATCAGATACACATTCTTACAGATGATAGTATAAGGTCTTTCATTCCTAAAGACAATGAGATCATTGCTAGATTTTCATCTGAGAGAATATATTGTTGTATATCTCTAAAAAAAATATATATATTTTGGCTAATAGAGTATAATTACATAATCATCTCTTCTGGGCATCTTGGAAAACTATATCTTAAATATCTCAATATAATCTTTTTTAAAAAAATTTCCCCTAAAATTTAATATATTTTTTAATAATATAAATAATACCATTCTTTTGTAATAATAAGTGATCATCAATTTTATAAAAAAAATCTTTTGGTATTTTGGATTTTTCTAAGATTTTATCATTTTCTAGGATATTAAATGAAGGATTTATAAATGTTTTCATTAATAGATCACTATTAATAGGTTGACCTATTCTCTTAGAAAAGGCATATAATTCTGAAGAAAAATCCCTAATTTTTAAATATTTATATATTATTTCATAAAATTACATACCAATTATATAATGCATATCTAGGTATTAACTTATATGGGCCTTGTTTACGTTCATTTTTCTTTAAATAATGCAATAGTCCTGGAAGCCAATTGGGTCTACCGGCATATCTTTTACCTAAAAAAATATTTTATAGGTATACTAGTAAATTATATAACTGATTGTAATAAAATCAATTGAAGATTTTAGCATTAAATTTTGAAAAAACATCAAAGCATATGAATGAATTAATTAATTTTCCAACGAACCTTAAACCAAAACAAATCTAATATGGAAATATTGAAATATAAATTAATTTAACTTAAACTAAATATCACATCTAGAATTGTTAAGATTAAATAAATTTAGGTATAAATAAGAGAATGTAAGCCAATATTTTTATAAAACAATACTTAACTTAAGCACCTATAGACTTTAAAGTTAGACCTTAAACTTCAACTAAAACAGTAGCGTCATTTGGGAGTAGGGGGAGTAGGCACTCAGGGGCTCAGACCCCCTAAAAAATATGAAGAGTTCTGTCAAAATTTTGATTTGTTATTACTAAAAAAAAGGTAATTTTGAAAATAATTAAAAAATATTTTTTGAGCCCCTTGAGATTGTAAAGGCCAGCGACTATGTACCAAAGGAAAGGGAGATTAAGATGATTGATGCAAAGTTTTCATTAAAGTTGGAGAGGGGGATGGGACTGGGAAGGGAATTTTGATTCTTGTTTTACTAATTTTGTTTCATTTTTTTTTAATAATTTTGATTTAGTAGAAAATGGGGTGGTAATGCTAGGAGAAGGCTCACTATTAACTTGCGTATTACAGATATGTTAAACTCCTGAAGACTGTGAGGACATTAAACTCTCCTCTTCCTAATTACAAATAAGGAAATCGAAATAAAATTTAAAATTTGCAAATAGATGCAAAAAAAAGGAAATCTAAAATTTCTCCTTTTCCATTCATTAAACGTTCCACCCCTGCCACTTCTCATTTATTCTAATGAAGATAGTATCTTTACAATTCTACTCCCCCTTCATAGGCCTAGCCAGGATTTTCTTAGGGGGGGGGGGATTGAAAAATTAGTAGGGCCTTCGCCCTCAGACCCCCTTTGGCGGGCCTTCGGCCCGCTTTTGCCCGGCCTTTGGCCGGGTTTATTAGTCTATATATAGTCATAAAATATTTTTACAAATTTTAATAAAAAAAATAAGCCTGGAACAAATATGAAATATATTTTTATTAGTTTATATAAAATATAAAAAATTACTTGTATATACATTAATATAAAAACATGGTAATACTTTATTCAAAACAATTATAAAAAATTATTTATAAAAAGTAAGTAGACATATAGTTGATATTCCTCCAAATTTTACTAATCAATGCTCTTGATAATAAATATAGCAACAATTTGATTCAATTATTTAACGCCATCTATTTTATTTAAGAAAAAATGATATTAAAATTTCTTCATATTATTCCCCCCACAATATCTTTAAAAGATGTTTTCTGATGTCCTTATCAATATTTTATAGATTTCTAATATATATAATTCGCTATATTGGTAAAAATTACTTGATTGTCATATGATAATTGATAAAATTAGATATACTGTAAATCTAGGACATATAATATTCCATTGTTTGATTGTGCTTTAATATTTTGATTGTGCTTTAATATTTTTATTTAATTTATGATTTAATTTTATCAATAGTTTTATATTTATATTTTACTTTTATTAAGATAAATAAATTAAAATTACTCACTTTATAAAAAATTATATTATTTAGTAATTTTATGGATCTATTATTAATAATTATAATGCATTTCACTTTTGTCTTAAGACTTATCTTTGGCTTATATTCCATTTATTAAAAAACATTTTTGGTTCATTTTATATATTTATAAATTTATTTTTCCAAAAATATATAAATTATGATGAATAGTTTAGTAAAAAAAAAATATCAACTTTTACCATTTTTCTTTCAAATTATTGTTTAAGATATATGCATACATTTTTAAGGGTCAGGGAGTGGGGGGAGGACTAAGGTAGATATTTTTTATTAGCTAAAAATGATATTCACAAAAAGTGATAAATTTCTGAAGGGGGGGAATTTCCCCTTGCCCCCCCCTGGCTACGCCTGTGTCCCCCTTCAATGATTATGCGTTCCCCATCCCCTTAGATCGGCTGTAAAATATATACAAAAACTAATAAATAAAAGAAAAAGATTTCGTTTGAAGCCATTACAGGGGCTGGAAAATTAAAATAAATAAGTGAAACCGGCTAAAAAATTATTAAAGGCCGAGTAAATTTCTGATTTTTCTTAAAATTTTAATATGCCAGCGCAGGAATTAAACTTTAATATATTTTTGGAATTTCAAGCTAACATTTTGATTAATACTATTTAAAAATAGTTGACAATATAGTTATTTCTTTGTATTGTAAGAGCTGAAAAAATTAAATTATTTATGATATGATACAATTACACATTCACTATCTATACAGATATAATCATAGATATTATATAGATATTTAAAATTTTATGGCCGGAAAATTAGTATTAACAAAATTTTAGGGACGGGTGACTTCCCATAAAGCCTTAACGGGTAGGGTGGGTTAGGCCTAAATTCTGGTAAGACCTTTACAGGCCTAGATCTTTTTTTAATAATGTACCTATAATTAATTTATAAATATTATAAACATTATTTAAAATAAATAATACAAATCCAAAAGTTATTAAAACATGTAAAGCGACCTTTTAAATTAACTATATTGATGAAGGACGTTCGTGTGATTCAGGTGCGTAGCCAGCGGAGAGTTTAGCAAAAATTTTTGAAAAAATATAAAAGGGCTCAGGCGCGTAATCAGCAGGAAGGGAGAGGAGGAGTAAACCCCACCTTAGGGCAAAAATTAAAATATATAAGGGCTTCCTGAATTGTGAATTGAAAATTACTCTATTTCAAATAGGTTATATTCTATTCTAAATATTAGTAAAAAGTTAAATAATTTAAATATATATCTCTTGTATTTTCATATTTTACCTCAGGAAATTTAAGTATATTTTCATACATATTTTTAACTTTAGACATTGATAGATATAAGAAATATTATCAACCAAAATAAATTCTATTTAATTTATCTCTACTATACTAATACATTGATTAGAAAATTTCTAGAATGTATTAAATGTTCAGATGTGCAAATAGAAAGAATTTACTGAATATAATTATTTCCGTGACTTCTTGTGCTACAGGAAAAAAAAAACTGCAAATCAGAATCACCTAAAATACATATTTCATCTGAAGCTGATATATTATTAGTTTTAATAAGACTGCCGATTTTTTTTCATTGGAATGTATTAAGTTATTTATTACACAACAATTTTATGCAATATTTTTCAAAAAAATAGCAGCTGAAGTTATGAGAATCGCTAATATTATTATATATTATAACTTAGAAGGCCAAGAGATGATATAGAAGGAATTTCTCTACAGAGAATAAAAACCTATATCAAAAGTATGACATCTTAAAATTTATTGAATATATTAACTTTTATCGAGATCTAATCCCCAACACAAAAAATTATTAAAAAATTGGCCGAATCGCAAAGAATATTAAATTTTCATATGACGGATATTTTGACTAAAATCATTATAAAATGTTTAATTTTATATTTATTGTGATTTAGATACCGGTTTATTATTTTTTAACCGTATTATATTCGCTTATTTAAAATCTATTTATAATGTGATAATAAAATTATATGAAATATTTTAAAATTTGCAACTATTTTAAAACTAGATGTACATATTTTAATAACATTTATAGCTTTTATATTTATATTATTCATGTTTAGTAAATTATAAATAATATTTATAATTATTTTAAATTTAAATATTTCTTGATTTATATTAGTATACAATTCTAAACCCTATTCGCAATAACAGAGAACATGCTTAAATAAGGAAAAATTAAAAAGCTTTCAAATCGAATATTTATTTGCCCTATATATTGCCTTTATGATAGTCTATATATATCATAAATTTATGATTTTAACTTAAAAATAAACTAAAGAATTCAAATTTATATAAACTCACTAAAATTTTAATTTTAAAGGTTCATGAAGACCTTGTGAGTGCGCTATCTATAAGTTAAAAAAAATTAAATATCTAAAGAATTGTAATAACATAGAAATAATTTTTTTAAAAAGGTAATCTCTTTTTTCACAAAAAAAAAATTCAGAACAAAATTTAATTAGGCATAAGGTAGCATGTTCAGGTTGCAGAAAGTGACAAATAAAATTTTAAAAAATGTAATAGTAAGCAAAAAAAGAAATCAATTCTAAAATTATATTTAAAAAAAATTAAATCGAAAATAAAAATAATTTATAAAAGATAGCTTTCTAGATGCTTCTTTTTATATTTACGAAAAGAAAAGAAAAACTGCCCGAGATAAGGTGGGCAGTTGTCCAATTAGCTTGGCCTGAATATAAATATGATTGAACCCGGTTTAAAATTTAAAAAAAATTCTTCTGGGCCGCTGCCAATTTAAAAAAAAAGTTATTGTAAATTTAATTCCTAAATATTAATTTAAGAACTTCCTTAAATTATTACAATGAGAAGTTTTGAGCCTCTCTCCCCTGCAAACAGGGCTTTATTTAATGCTTCATTATATAAAAACGTTTCTCAATATTTTTATCGCCCACACTCGATTGAGAGACAACTAACTATTCTTCATAAAAATATTACAATATCTAACCCAATGCTCTTAATTTTATGTTGAATTAAATAATCCTTCTAATACTATTAGAGTAGAGAAAGGGTTCATATAGAAGAAATTTTGGCTTAATCGTTACTAATACAAATCTATAATCCTTTATTCCTCCAAGATAAATTCCTGAATACGGATATTTAATTTTGTAAAAAAAAAATTTAATATAGCTGGCTTTTAATTTCAATTATAGGAAATATAAGAAAACTAAATCCTTTAAGAATTTTAAAGAAATTTAAATAATTAATTAAAATATATTAAAATTATTAAACCTGAACAGATTTTATTTCTTATTCTGGTTCACCAATAGAGGGTTCACCGGGTTCGGGATAAATCCCTGATTATTTCTTCTATCGGGTCTTCATTACTTTGCAGGCTCTGGTTTACAAATCAACATTTGGCAATATAATAAATATGTTTTATGCCAAGCTTTTATTATATTGAAGAATTAATTCATAAAAATATCATTCAAAGAAAATTATTATAGTATTGTGTCGGATAATTATTTTGTAAAATTGTTTACGTAAATTCTTAAATTATATGACATATCAATTTTAGAGATCATATTTGTTTAAGATCTTTTCCTTTGAAATAATGTTTTGATCTTATTTATATATTAATATAAACTCTTATAATAAGTAAATTTATTCTATACCATTTTTTCCATTCAAATTAAGAATACAAATTTGGTCTTTCATCAATAGAAAACGCATTCAAAATGCCTTGGAGTGCTAATTCTGGTAATGAAACTTCCATTTCATTTGAACCTTTCAAGATAAGAGCCGTCGAATCCATCAAACTAAATACCAAAGAATACCGAATGGAAGCCCTAAAAAAGGCTTACTACAATCCATTCTTGCTCAAATCTGAAGATGTGATAATTGATTTATTGACCGATTCAGGCATATCTGCCATGAGCACTAATCAATTGTCAGGAATGATTAAAGGTAATAGAACATTAAGAAAATACATTAAATTATAATAAGCTGATAAATATTTGTTTATAATAGGTTATTTACTATTTCAAAGGTCTAATACAATCTAAAATTAAGAGTCAGAACTTAATATTTTAGATTGAAAGCGCCTGCTAATTTCTTAAGGTATTAGATTCATATGTAATTTTTAACATTAACCTTAGAACTTAGTTGTTACGATTGAAAAGCCGAATAGCTACATTAGAAGGTTACAGTATCTTTATAGTTCTCTACAATCATTCTTGATTAAAAACAAAAATTGTTAAAAAGATCTGTTGGAAAATATATGAAAAGTTTATAATTATATAAAGAAATATACAATAATACTACGTTTAAATATTTATATTAGACTGTGTCCAAAATATCAAAAAATTTAATCCGAAAACTTTACTTTATCAAAAAGACACGAAATTAAGTCTTTTTAATAGAAAAATAAAAATATGACCAAAACATGAAAATTTCTAAAACTTTATAATTAAGTTCCCTTAAAGTTCGTGTTCCCTTAAAGTTTCGTTGCTTTTGAAAGTTTTGAAAGGCAACCTATGAAAAACGATTTATTGACAATATGAATGCATTATTAAAATGAAAACACACAACCAAATCATATAATTTTCAATGTTTAATTTTTTAGAAAATAACTTGTAAAATATAATATTTATTCTGTGAATATATTCCCATAAATCAAAAGATATTTATTCTAATATTTCGGATAATTTTTTATTTACCCTTCTACTTAATATAATCTTCTTGATTATTTTCTTCTCAAAATAAGCGGATGAAGTGTATATTGGGAGTGCTAGTTTTGATAAATTTCATTCTGCGGTGACTCATTTAACCGGTTATCCAGAGGTTATACCCGCCCATCAAGGCAGAGCAGCCGAAAAAATATTGTTTCAAGCTCTAGACCTCAAGAAATATCATATTGTGATCTCCAATGGATTTTTTGATACAACTAAATGTGCCCTAGGTTTTAAATTTTTATGCATATTATTAAAATATCATTTGCTGTTGGAATGTAAAAAAGAAATATCATGTTTATGATAAAAGGCGTCATTAGATTTTTAGCTAATTAAAAAATCTATCAATTTTTTTAATAAGGGGTACAGGTAAAAATAATATTGAAAAAAAGGCTAAATGACCTCTACAGGCAGGTTTGAGTACTAATAAATGTTTAAGCCATTCAAAGCTTTCAGATTTTATTTTAAAAATGTGTAAAAGATGGCCATTTCAACCACCAGGGGAATATTTTATTAAAATGATATTTACGAAACAGGCAAAAGTTCGTTAGTCACATCAAATTTGTCCCAAATTTAAAAAAAACTTTGGAATGCTTAGGCACTTCTTTGCCCCCCCCCCACCTCACACTTAGGCCCAGAATATATGAAAATTATATTATATACTTAATACAATAACAATGATATTTTAATCCTGCACTTATAGAATTATAGGGAATTTAAATAGAAAAAAATATAATTATAAAGCATTTTTTTTAAAAAATAGATATTCAATAGGGACAGTTATTATCAACTCTTTCAAAAATATTTTTTAAGATAATATAGGAACAGCAGCTTTGGAATATCCTGAACCAAAAGCGGAAGATCCCGTGGCTTCAAAATTTAGGGGAAACATGGATTTGGAAAAGCTAAAGTTTTATTTGCAAAGTAAATATTGTTATAATATTATATATAAAATGGTCGTTTTATTTTTAAGCCATTATTTATTTCCTACAATTCAATTATTTGTCTAAAAAAATTTATACTAAAGCTGGAGAGGAACTTTTGGATAGCTATGTTGGACAGCTTTAGGTTGACTTTTTAAGGAGGTCTACAATGTTATTTTTTTAAAATAGTATTTTTTTGTTTATAATTATCTATTATATTCATCTTGTTGAGGGGGGGGGGAATAATTATTATTAGTTTAAAATCATATCTTGGGGAACTTGCAAATTCGTGAGGAGAAATTTCTCTAAGTATCCTTTTGACTATGCTATAAAATATAGGTTTAAACTAATGTGTATATGACAAGTATATAATTAATTCTTTCTAGAGTGTTTATTTGAGGAGGTATGACATAAACACTCTCTCTCTTAATAGTTGGAATTTTGGAAGAAGGAATGGTAGTAACATTATTATAATCATACAAAAATATATTCATGACAAATTTTATGTCAAAGGTCCAGAAGTATATAGAGTAGCCTTGGTTTTAGTATGTGTCACAAATTCTCATTTGTCGGGACAACCCGTATCGTTAAAAAATTTGGGCAAAGTTGCTAACTTATGCAGAAATCATAATATTCCGCTCTTTTTAGATGCTTGCAGATATGCAGAAAATGTGTATTATGTTAAGAAAAATGAACCAGAATATAAGGATAAATCACTATTGGGTAACAAATAATATTTATTATTATGTGCAAAATTTTATACCAGCTATTTTTAATTTTTTTTATTTAAAAAATTTTATATAATTATTTTGAATTCTTTTTGGTTATTTATTATAGGATTCCATCTAACTCCACTTTTGGTTTAAGGGGCATCATCTCATTCTTGGGTATTCCATACACCTATACATTAATTTTTAAAAACCCTGAACATTAATATTTTAAAAACCCTGAACATATTTTAAATACAGTTGTTATGTTTTAATATTTATAACATTTCTGCCTCTTATACTTCTTATTGACATTTCGCAATTAATTATATATAATGTATTTAATATTTTATTTATTAAAGTTTTGATTTTATAAGAATCTTAGACGCTTTAGATATTTGTTTTTTTTAAATAACGACATGTGATAATAACAGATATAATAGTATTTTTAATGGCTCTCATATAAGTTGATTTAGTACCCTATAAAATCAAATTTGTGATGGAGCTTAAATTTCCAGATTAAAAATAAACACTCTGAAATTAATTGTCAATCATATTAATTTATATAAGAGATAAGTAGAGATATGTTTGCACTCGCGGATGGATGTTTTGTATCGATGAAAAAAGATGGTCTGTGCAATACGGGAGGATTCTTAGCCATGAAGAACGTCGAATTAGCCTTAAAGTGCAAAGAAAATATTATTCTCAATGAAGGGTTCCCCAATTATGGCGGGTTAACTGGTTTTTGCATTATATATAATTTACAATAGATATTTAATATCAAGCTGAGCTTGACTATTTTAAGAACCAATTGAACCAACTTATCAAATTAGATAAATGCTTCGTTTTTTAAAAAAAAATGTTTAACGATAAAACATATAAAAACATTATTGGAGTAGTGTTGTTAAACGGCTCTTGATCCGATTTTTAAAAACGGCTAGTTCATCAGAAAATATTGACTATAAGCCTCGAGATTTCGCGAATAGATATCTAAACTACAGTGCCATCTATGACCAAAATCTTCAGGCTTGGGTAACATTATTCTGGATAAAATATTGAATTAGCCATTTATTTTTAAAAATCGGCTCAAATCGAACTGTTTAGCAACACTACATTGGAGAGAGCGTAATTTTACAGAGTGATATATTTTATAATTTTTAAAATAATAATATAAGAGGAGACAGGAGTTATAGTGAGTCCCAAAAAGGGAAACCTATATATAATTAAATTTTATTATTTTAAATTTTTAAAAAAAAATAATTTTGTTCCTCTTTTTAATAGTTTTATAAGTAGGATTTTAAAACTCTTTTTTGCTATTTTCTTTTTCTGAAATTTTTTTTTTATACAAATTACATTCGACATACAAGGGAAAGGATACTCTTGTGCCTATGGAGCTATCATGAGAACTAAAATAATTTTAATATTTTGCATTATTATTTATTTTAAAAAAAAATATTATTCTGGTCATATTCTACTAAAATATTCAACCTCATAAAAATAGCCATAAATCCTGTCTATCCTTAAATTTAATTTAAAAACATTTTAATACCCATCTGGCTCAAGTAAATTAATATTTTATAAATAGGATTTTTTACCTACATATAAAATAGTTTTTAGATGTTAAAAATATTTATTAATTTTGGTATAATGCATTATATAGGTAGAAAAATAATATATTAAAAAAGTCTCAGGCTCGCTATAATTTGGATTTTTATATCCCCAGTATCCCCTAAACAGGATTAAACCCTAAGGTAAATTATTTAAAAATTAAATAATTAGGAAGAGATCTAGAAGCTATGGCGGTTGGCATAATGGAATCGATAAATGAAGATTTTTTGAATTATCACATAAATTTAGTGGAGGATTTTGGTTCATTACTGGAAAAAATGGATATTCCGGTTGTATTGCCAACTGCGGGTTACGCAGTTTATGTCAATGCTAGCGATACCCTTCCCGGGATCAAAAGGAGTGAACATCCTGCTTGGTGCCTATATTGCGCGCTGTATATCGAGGGCGGCATTAGAGCATGCGAGATAGGTTTATTGAAAAAGAATAATTATAAATTTCTTTAAAATAATTGATTTGGCTTTAAGCGCTCTTTTAAGTCAGTTAATTTATTTTTAGTGCCGTATATAGAAATTTAAAAAATATATTTAGTTAATCAACTTTATTTTAAAAGATGTATTTTAACGCGGAGAAGCAGGAAACTCTTTATGAAAAAATTTTATTTTGAAACTCAATATCCATAAAAATACATTTAGATGTTTTATATATTAACATATGTTCCTCATATTTTATTTCCTTATCAACCTTGATTTAAGAATGCGCAAAATTAATAAATGGAATAGGATGAAATTAACATAAGCATTTATTTCCAAATACGGGAATTATTCGTTTAATTTTTAAAATATAAAATTTAAAACCTATTCAGAGATCTAGATAACTAAATATTATATGACAATTCCAATGTATTAATATGTGAAATACACTGACTGTCCCAACTAAATAAATCTATAACTTGCTGCAATGTGAGAGGAATAATTTGTATTTTATTAAGCTAAAATGTATTCGTATGATGCATACAATTCGATGATGTAGATAATTATATTTGTGTTTAATATTAATCCATTTTATTTACTTTAAAATACGATGATCTGTGATTTTAGCAAATTAAATTAAATAATTAGTTCATACATTAAATTTTAATTTTAGATAAAAAAAAAATAACATGAAGGTTTACTCAACGCTATAACAACAATTTGAAGTTAACAATATAATAAAATAATAATGTAACAATTTAAATATTACTCATCGAATAATATTACCTAAGTTATTATTCAAAGGTTTAATTATTTAAGTGAGAAGCCAATAACTTAGTTAAACGTGTTCAACCTAAGTCTTTTATAAATGGATCTTTAATATGAGATGATTAAGCGAAGATTATAGTCAACTTTAAATTGGATGCTCAGTTGCTTATAAAATCAGGGAGGATTCCATAATAATATGGAATATCAGCTATGTATCTGACAATAAGAAACAATATAAGAAATAAGAACATTATTTTCACCTTAAATTACACATGGATTCCTAAGATATAAGAGTGATTTTACCGATTTCTAAATTTTATTCAATTTAATTTTTCTCAGGTAGTGTAATGCGCGCTCCGGATGAACGGGAAGTGCACCCAGAATTTGTTAGGTATAATAAAAATATAATAAAATTTAATTACCAAATTATTTTAATAAATAATATATATATTATATTATTGTATTATATTTCTAAAGTTATAATATAATTTATTAATTTTTTCATACAAAAAGATTTTCGATTCCCAGAAGGGTCTACACTTTCGCACATTTACAATTCGTGGCCGATACCTTGAAGTACATTATGGAGAACAGGGACAAATATTCTGGTTATCAAGTAGTGCAGGAAAGCGATATTTTAAGACATATTTCCATTAAACTTAAGCCGATTCAAATTCAAAATAGTAGCACAAAATCGATTAAAGAATCTAGTAATTTGATGGTCAAAGAAATAGATAGCAGAGGCAGCCATACCAGTATTTCATCTAAATTAAATAGTAAAAGATCAGAGCGGGATATAGATCAACATTTTATTGAGAACAAGCAGAAGACTTCCTCGGTCAAGATCAACACAAAATATTAAAATTTACCTGATTATCGATCTATTGAATTACAAAATAAAAATTTATTTTTCTGCCATTACATACAATTAAATTAAAATTATATTATAAAACTAAACCCGGAACTCTACTAAATCATATTAGGAATTTGTGGTATTTTTTTACAATTTTCTTTTGAGTTTTCTTTTCTGCCTTGCCTTTTTCTATTTATTAAATTTACTACTATATAAATAAATCCAATCTCTACCGTGTTCCCTAATTTTAGATATTCGCCAATATATTGTTAATTAAAACTTCTTTCATTTATTTGTTTTTTTGTTAACACTCATTTTAGCCTTCTCTACTCTTTTTTCTAAATCAGATCTAGGCGTCATATCGAATTGCTTATAATATAATTCTTATTTTATTGTTTTACTACTTACTATCTATTGATTTAAAGTCAATTCGCATAAATTAAAAATGATACAGAAATTCATGATTAAATTATCTGAAATTTAAAGGATGGATATTTTATTATATATTGGAATACATTTTTGTCAAAATAAGATTGCTTATAAAAAGCATTAATGCTATTTATCATTAAATATTTATTTAACGCGCTTTTCAAATTTTGATAATCTAATTTTACTGGAAGTGAATTTCAGCATATAAGACACTTATTCCATATATTCCCGACAATTTTGAAAGATTGCACGTCTTGATTAACAATACGTTTTAACTGATTAGGCTAAACTGTAAGATATATAGATAATAATGGATATATTGATCAATTATTTCGATCCAGAATTTTATAACATCGAAATCACTCGTATTAAACTCGGGAGAATTTAACCATAATTCAAAAATATTTTTCTTATAAGAAATATTATAAGCGCATAGCGAAAAAATCAGTGAAGATTTTTTGCTATTAAATTTTTATTTTTTTTTACATATTCCTTAAAATGTTTACAAGTATGTGTATTTAAGGCTAAGAATAAATAATTTATCTAACTCGATTATTTTTTATATTGAAATTGGTTATTATTTATTCAACTTCTTCGAATTTGAATTTATCAAGTATTGGTGATAAATGGCTCGATTTGAGCCGATTTTTAAAAATGGCAAACTATCACCAGAAAAATATTACGCTATCTTGAAGATTTTACACATAGATAGCACAAAGGTTTGGGCATCTATTATCTAAATCTCGAAGCTTAAGCAATTTTTTCTGACTAAAATATTGAGTTGATTTTTTTTATATATTTGCTTAAATTTAGTCATTTAACAAAACTGTTTTCAAACCTCGTCATAATGCTTAGATTTTCCCAATTCAGATTTTTTTCTAAATAAGAAACGATTTGTCTTAATAAATTTATTAATCCATTTTGAAGTGAATACAATATTATCATGATCATTACATTTTATAAGATTTTGTCTTCAACCGAGCCATAAAATTCTAACTTGTGCAAGTTGTAATTAAATTATATATTATTATTTAAAAACATCTTCCTTGATTTTTCGGATGTCGTCCCACTTGGCCTGAGGGCATTGTTCAAAAATATTTTAAAATTGATTGGGAAATTTTTGGGGCTCTTTTATTTATTTTTATTTTTTCTCTTTAGCTTTCACCTTTTCTGGTGGTAAGCTCCTTCAACATCTCTCTCCACTTTATGTTATTAATACAATCTCTTTTATCTAATTTATACTTCTTTATATTGGCTCTAACTTTGTGGCCCCATTGAAGTTTTGGCCTTCCTCTTTTACGTTTGCCCATCACTTCCAAACTCTTTTCTTTATTTCCTATGTAGTTCATAGGCCTTCTCATTGTGTGCCCATACCACCTAAGTCTGTTTACTATTAACTTAGTCTTAATGGGCACTACCTTTAAACTACTTAGTATTCTTGTACTGCGCACTTTATCCATTCTTGTTACCCCAGCAATCATCCTCAGCATTCTCATCTCCATGGTTTGTAGACTTCTCTCGTCTGATTCTTTGGTTGGCCATGTTTCCGAACTATATAGAATAGTTGGTTGTATTATGGAACTTTAAATTTTTCCCTTTAATTTGTGTGGGATTCTTTTATCAAATAGCACTCCAGTCCACTTTAGCCACCCTTGATTTATCTTACTCTTTATCTCTTTTTCTATTGTGCCGTTTGTTTGTATAGTGGAGCCCAAATATTTGCAGCTTTCAATTGCCGATATCTGCCATTCATTTATATCAATACTCTCTGTTTCATCTCCTCCTATCACCATATACTCCGTCTTTTCTCTATTTACTTTTAATCCGTGCGTTTCTAGGATATTTATCCAACTCACTAGTCTTTCTTTCATTTCATCCTTAGATTCGGCAAGTATCACAATAGCATCTGCAAATATCATATTCCACGGGACTGTTTGAGGTATAGACTATGCTAATACATCTATTACTGTAATGTAGAGAAGTGGGCTGAGAGCTGACCCTTGATGATCTCCTTCGGCTATTGTGAAGCCTGCTGAAGTACCTGTTGTGCTACGGACCATTGTTGTATGGCTCATATACATATCCTGTATTATTCTTATATATTTTTCGGGAACATTTTTGTGGCGTAGCGCCCACCAGATAAGTTTTCTTGGGATTCTATCAAAGACCTTTTCTAGATCGAGAAAGACCATGTGTAGCTTTTTGTTCTTTTCCCTGTATTTTTCACTCATTTGCCTAATTGCGTGGATAGCATCGTTTGTTGATCTACCAGGCATAAAGCCAAACTGGGTCTCTCCTATTTCGATTATATCTCTTAATCTTTTTTCTATTATTTTTTCGTATAGTTTTAGACAGTGTGACATTAGTTTTATGCCCCTGTAATTTTGACAATTATGTGGATCCCCTTTATTTTTGAAGATAGGAACTAGATAGCTTTGCCTCCATTTTTGGGGAACCTCTTCATTTCCAAGTATCTTATTGTATAGATTTGTGAGGAGATGTATTCCATCATCTCCTAGTGCTTTAAGGCTTTCTATTGGAATATCGTCTGGACCCCTAGATTTGTTGTTTTTCATATGCTTGAGGCATGTGATTATTTCTTGTTGTGTTATAGGTTGTACAAGGTTTTGGCAAGGGGAGTGTTCGTCTAGATGCAGTATGTGCGGATTAAAGTTGAGAAGCTCCTGAAAATATTCTCTCCATTTACTCATTATTTCTTTTTCCTTTATTATCAATTTCCCATCTTTATTTTTGATTACTTTCGGAGCTCCGTTTATATCTCTAGAGTTCTTTTCTCGCTGTTTGGCTAATCTGTATATTTTATTTTGCCCTTCTTTGGTATGTAGATCTTCGTACATGTCATCGTATGCCATAGATCTGGCTCCAACCACCGCCTTTGTAGCTAATCTCTTGGATTTTTTGTATCTTGTCTTGTCATCTGGATTTTTGGATTTGTGCCATATTTTATAAAGGGCTTTTTTCTCCTGTATAGTGGTTGTACCTCTTCATTCTACCACCATATTGTTGCCTTCTCTTGTCAAGCCTAGTGTATTTGGCAGCTATTAATCTGGATGAAAGGTCTGTCCACATTTTTTCACTGACTTGTGAGGAATCTATTGTTTCAATGTTTGCATTGATTGCAAAAGCATCTGTCATTGTTTTTAATTTGCCCCATTTGATGCATGGTTCCAGTTTTATCTTGTTTTGTGTGGATTTATTTGAGATGTGTAAATCCATGACTAGTAGCTTGTGTTGTGCGGCGATATCTTCTCCTGGGATGACTTTGCAGTCTATTACATCTTTTAATCTTCTGCGAGAGATTAGTATGTAATCTATCTGTGTTTTCCTTGTACCACTTTCGTATGTTATTAAATGACTATCCTTTTTCTTATAGTAGGTGTTGGTTAAGGTAAGGTCGAAGGCTTGCGCAAATTTCAGTATATGTTCTCCTTCATCATTTCTTTCTCCATATCCAAAACCACCATGATGCCTTTTGTAGCTATCTCTTGCTTTCCCCACATGCGCATTTAAGTCACCACCAATTATGACTAGATCATCCTTATGGATTTCCATTTTCATCAGGGATAGCTCTAAAATCATCTTTCTTTTCTTCCTTGCAACCCGTTTGAGGAGCATATAATGAAAGGATGTGTAGTATTGATTGACCAATGCAGAATTTTATCTTCATTAGTCTATCAGAGATCCTGTTGACTTCTACAACTGAGGAGGTTAGATCTTGACTGAGGATGATGCCGACACCGTTCCTATTGCTAACAAGTCCATTATAGTACAATTTATACCCATCTCCAATTATCAAAGTCTTCTGTCCTTTCCATTTCGTCTTTTGTATGCACGCTATATCAACTTTTCTCTTGTTCAACATTGATGCCAATTCTCTCGTCTTACCTTTAAGCGTCCCAATATTCAAACTTGCTAATCTTGTTTTCTTTGCTTTGACCTTTACTTTACTTTTCACAGGACGGAGGTCTACACCCTGCGCGTCGCTTGGAGGGAACGCCCTATCTTTCATATTCATATTTCCATTTGTTTTCTTCATTTTGTTTATTGGACAGGTATCCTTAGCACCCGGCTGTCCAGGCCTGTCGGTGACCGGGGTGTCATCTCTAAGCTCCGAAATTCATCATACCGTATGTCTTTACACATCAGTCATCGAAGAAAAACTTGAAAGTTTTTATGGTTCTTACCAGGATTGAACCGGCGTCCTTGTTCATACTCGTGTTTCCAAGCGTACATCTTACCCATTAGGCCACCCTGGCGGCCGGTATTAATAATAATGGCTATCTAGTTAAAAACTTAGTTCTGACAATTTAATATCTTGAGAATGCATAATTTTCCATAAACGGATACCTTGCTGTTGAATCTGCTAAATAGTCCTAACATTTCTTAACTATTTCTATGGTTTGCCCCTTTCTTCCTGCATTATGTATTGTATGACTCAGGCAACCAATGAGTATAATGTATTTATTCATAATTTATAATTCGGTCACATTTTGCCTTTTTCGAAATTCAACTCATGTTATCTGCATAAAAGGCCGTTACATTTGATAGTAAAAGGTTAATCCTTCGATTTTTCTGAGTGCAATTTCTCCAAGTCCGATTATTTAAA